TTTATGTTTATGTGTGTGTGTGCGTCTGTATGTCTGTATGTCTGTCTGTGTATGTGCTTAGATGTGTAGACAAAGACACGTGAACAGACATATACACATGCTCCTAGAGTAATATATGATTTGATTTAACATTCACGATTTAGGGTATATATATACAACAATTAGCGATAAACCGATGCGTTTTCTTGGTACGTCTGCTTGAATAAGGTTATATTTATGATGGTCTGCCCTGTTGATGATGATGATGATGGACGAAGGCTTTGCATGATTTCCCGGGCATCAAGAGAGACTGCCTTGAAAACAGCGTCAACAAGAATTTTCCAGCTGCCTTCATCTTTCGGTGGGATCGACCCTCGAGTCTCTTCATTACACACTTTCATTCGAGGTTACTCGAATGAGTAGGTTTCACCTACTCAATTATCTTCACCTCAGGTCGCCTTCATTAATGTAACAACTATCCATTGAAGAGCAACGATAAAGAGCATACGTCTCATCGGACCAGTTTCCTATACTCAACCATGACCCATTTGCTTAATCGTAATTTCGACGACAGCAATGACGAATCCGAGCTTGCCTTATCATACCTATTTGGGGCGGTACTGTGGTTATTTGACGCTATTCGATGCGAATTACACTGAGCCTAGTAGTGAAACAGAGATGAGGTCGAAACCGTAGGCCATCCTTAAGAATACGGCCTTTTGGGTCTTTGTTAGATGAGGCAAAAATATCAGTCCTTACATTATTATGGGCCTGCTAATGGCTCTAGCTACAAGCGACAGCATTTGCGAGTTGAACCATAATCAAAATTAACCTATTCCGGCCAGAATATTTTGTATAACTAACATGCCATCTCTGATCTTCGAGCGTCCATAATGATATGGCCTAAATATATATTCCAGTTAATAAACAATGACCCTAACGAATACTGAGAAGTGCAGGAGATCAAGACAAAAGACAGCTTTTACGACAAAGTCAGCTCCCTAAATGCGTCCTATCCCTGGCTTCAAACGGCTTAGGCTACATCAGACGAGAGATATAAACAACTACGGGCGGCATCATTGAGCACCAAATGTGATGACAATTTTGACGGAAACAGCTCTTAATCAAGCTCCACTGGTAGTTCCAAACTCTACTTAATACGAATATAAGTAGTGTGAGAAATACAAGTTTGCTTCATCAACAATCCCATGACAAAACTACGGTATGGAAGAGACTGGGCTCTGCTTAAAAATGCACTCTTGTCCTTTGACTAGGGGCATTCGCGGCAATGCCATGCGAAATGCAATGTCTCACTCGCGTCAGTCTGAAAATAATTGTGAACAACTAGCGCTTCTTCAGCAGCAAACACGATCAGTTAAGAGGGAGGAACAACAGAGTGCTGCATCAAATACCGGCAAACATGACACCAACTTTCGTCAGAACCAGCTACCAATTGTGTGTTTTTTTCGACTTGCAGAATAGTTGCCCCACCGCTAGGCGAAATGCTGTATTCCCCGACGTTCTGGCCAACAATTCATTCGTCATGCCTTCCTGTTGGCCAATCCTTCATCGTTTGCTGTGCCCACCTCTTTCGCCCAGCCGCCTCACCATTGGAGTGTAGAAAAAGGAAAGATTGTTATTAGCATAAAATAGTGTAATTAATCATAGACGTTGCAAATAGCAGCTAAACACTGGATGCCTTTAATGACCCCCGCACAGATGAATGTAGACAGTGTCCAGATATCTAGCGCGATCTGAAGAGCGTGACTCCCACCAAAAAAACAAAGTTGTCTCTCTAAGGCCGGCTGCTCCCTACGGGATTGTTAGTGTCACCTTTTGTGGATGATGCGCCTGGGCATGATGTTGACAATTATGCTGGTGCCGATACAGCCTGAGTGATTGTCACTGCAACTGCGGCTATAATTATTGCTATTGTCGCGAGTAGTGATGCTCTTTTTGGTGTTGATGAGACTAAGGTTCCGGTCGGTGTCAACGTGGCTGGGGTTGTTTTGTGCATTATTCCGTTTTCGGTGGGGTCTTGGATACTGGCTTAGTCACTCAGCAGGTGGACCATCACTGTGTCGTCGTGTGATCATGGGCTAGGCTACTACCACTAGTGAGTGGACGAATGACAGCAGGGACATGTGATGGCAACAATGGTGTCGAGGATTGTTTATAATTGTATATTTGTGGGAATGATGCTGTTGGCGTTGATGCCGTGTGGACTGAGGAGGCGGCGCGGCCGTCAAGCGGACCATTTCAGAGCATTGCTCCGTCACTCTCAGCAGCACCGGCCCGAGAAGCAGTTGGACCTGACGTCAATTGCCCTCTCTCCATAAATGCACCAGCATGAGGCCGAGCCGCAATTGGGCTTGCAGTCTTTCTCTCTCTCTGTGCCTATTATAAAATATACACACATACACGCACATACACACATGTAGGCATATGTGCACAGACGAGCAAGCAAGCAAGACAAGCATTCAAGCAGAGAGGCACTAGACAAGGTCGGCTGAGAGACCCAAAACAGCAAAAGTGCTGGATGAGTCTAAGTGCATACATAAAATGGGGATAATCGGTGCCGCAATGAAAACGGCAAGTCTTAAAAGCGAGCAACACAAAGGGAAAATGGGCTTGTCGTTTCCGATTCAAAGATAAAAATAGACAGAGTAATGTGTATGCGAGGCGGTATTTAGCACATTCAAGCAGCATCAGCATCAGCCTCAGATGCTCAGATGTGTGATGTGATGTGTGCGTCTGTGCGTGCGTGCGTGCATGCGTGGGCACGGACATCAGTTTGTTGGCTTCCGTGCGCACGACGGTGTGTCGAGATCAAGGTTTAGAGGCAAAAGTGATTGGTGAAATGGACGACCAGAGAAGACAGGCATAGAGTGGAAAGATTGGATTCTTGAACTCGTTCAAGGTCCAAGCGGCTAGGCCTACCATGTCATAAAGAGTCATGACCTTGCTGAAGGGAACACTGTGAGTGTGCGTATAGCCCCGAAGTGGGCTACAGATTTGGGACGTCTGGAGTGGGCGGGCTAAATCTGGAAGAGGAGAGAGAAGCGGGACAGGATCACTATGACGAAACGACAAACTGATGCGGGGAAGGCGCTGTAAAGTAAGCTCTCGGACGAAAGGATGACAGAAGAACAACAAGAAAGCATGACGGCAAGTTCACACTCGAAATGCCCTCAACGGAGGCGAAAAGAGTTAGACCTTTTAATCAACCAATTGAAATGAAATCAGTTTGGGCAGAAGATGATCAACAAAGCTTTGCTTCAACAGTGTATAATACGGGTAGCTGGGTAGGAACAATAAGCATCAAGTCTCAACAGACGTCGGAGTGGGATAACTATCGGCAGAGAGGGAGAGAGAGAGATCTGCTTGCGAGGGAACCTTCCGTCCAATCAGACCATCGTCTCAGAGCCGGCAGGTGTCAATTGGTAAACCTCTCAGGTCGGTACCATTTCGTTTGTCGAAGGCTTCGCGTGTGCAGAGGCCTTGTTCCAGTGTTGGGATGTGGACAATAAGCAGTTGAGAAACGGGACAACATATGGAGCATCAGAATGAGGGTGATTTTAGTGTGTGTGTGTGTGTGTGTGTGTAAGAGAGAGAGAGAGTGGAACAGGGAAAAATGGAAGGAGCAAGCGACAGACAACTGGGATCGCCGAGGTGCAGTTGTGGCAAAAGCAGTGGAAGATGAACTGTATGCCAGGCGGATAAAAGAGGGGCATACAAGACGGTAGAGAAGAGGCGATTGTGTGAAGAGGGTAGAATGACGATTTGGGCAACAGAGGCAAACGCAGTTGTGCCATTGCATTAGGCAATGGTGCCGATGGTATATTAAACTTTGGTGCTGCCAGCCTCGCAACTGCGAGGCTTGAGACAGGAAAGCATGCAGGAATGGCCCGGGATAATGCGGTTGCGATGGGAAGACAATGCAAAAATACAAAAGAAGACGTAAGAGGTAAAAAGAGAGAACCTGGACCCTCTAAGTATGATGCCTTGGTGCAGAGGAGCCAGTGTGAAATGGTGAAAAAAAGCAATTAGCTATCATGAAAAGGTAACTAAGAGGCGAAATCGACATGTGGCTTGGAAAGAATGTGGCCAATCAAAGGCAGTGTTTCTAGGCACAAAGGCAGAATATTGCAGACGTAGTCGGACAGGCGTACATGCGTTCACATACCAAAAACACAGAGAGTCCATAGAGTAAAAATGGTAAATACAACAGTTTGGATGCCCTACGAGGGGAATTCTGACTGTGTGTGTGTGTTTGTGTGTGCTTATATATGCACATATGTACGCATGTGTTTGTGTCAGTTTAGTTGCGCATGTCCGAGGGAAAGAGAGAGAGAGAGAGAGTTGATCGAGCAACAGCCCAATTTAGGCCAAGGCGAAAGTGAGTAAACCTTAAATGACATGTCGACAGAAGGCGGGAAGAGAGCGGCTTTTCTGGGGCTACTCATTCGGGAGAGCTGGCCGTCGAAAGACGTTGCGTCAGATGACGACGTGTCATCTGGCATGCCACCGGTGCGACGTGATGAGCACACGCAAGGCTGCCGGACGATGCTCAGGGCGGAGGTGCTATGCGGAACGAAGCAAAGCGAAGCAAAACGGAGCGGATCAAATCGTATCGGATTGGATCAGCGCGATCTGGTCGGTGACGCCGTCTTCCCGACTGACCAGAGGACGGTGCCCGGAGCTGGGGACGGTCAGGCGTCCGGTTGTGATAGGGCGCCGGGCGCACGAAGTACAGAAGAGGAGGAGGAGGCTGGGAAACCCAGACATGGGCTCGGCTAGACTGGGCTTATGGACGAGGTGAGTGCGTCGAAGCGCCAATCGCTGGATGTTGCTTCTCTTGGAATATGTGTTCTGTTGTGCTTGTCTGCTCTTGTCTGCCTAGGGGTCACTTGCGCACTCACGCACGCTCACACGAGCTGTGGAGCGCAAAGTGGTGACAAAGCGAAAGAGCCGAGTCAACATGGAACGAGCCAAAATGGACATTAGCACTGAGCTGGAAAGCATTGCCGACAGGTAATCAGATCGGTTGGTAAAAAAATTAAATCCCCTTCCAAGCATGTCCGTATAAATATGTATATGAAGAGTGAACTAGCATAGATCGCAGGTTCTCGAGTTGCTGAATACATTTTATAGAAAAAGGGACAACGATTTAGATGAGTTGAAATTGAAAAATATTCCTAATATGAAAAAAATATATATGCATCCTTGTTTCACATTTAGAAAATGGCTAGTAGGAAATGTCGGCGTAGAAACGAATGACGGCATTCAAATAGTCACTAATAAAATGCAAGCGCAATACAAACTAGCCAGTATTGCAAGGGTGAGAGATTAATCCAATATCGATTGTCTGCTTGCGGATGACTATGCTTGCGCTGTAGTTTGTGCTATGTGTTTCCGTGTGTCTAGGCTGCTTCGCTATCAACCAGGCGAGACTTACTTCAGATGGGAGAAGAGGGGCAGCATCCGAAAAGCATAAGTAATGCCACCAGATGGTATGCAGTGACCGGAACAAACCGAGGCTACAAGCAATTCTTGCAATTGCAAGCAGAGTCATAACAAAACGTAAACGATAGAGGAAAAGTGACGGATAGATTTAAAGAAGGGACCATAAAATAGAGGTAGAAAAGATAAACAATTGAAAGACTTGAGCAAACGAAAGCGTACATAGAGGACGAAGCGTAGATGGGCAAGAGGAGAGAGCAGGAGAGAGATAAAGATTGAGGACGGAGAAGGAGGAGAGCGGAAAGAAAAGGAGCCATCGGAGAGCACAGAGAAGTGAGAAGGAGAGAGGGGAAGAGTGGAAAAAACCTCGTAGAGGATGGAAAATATTGTTGTCGCGGAATGAAATGCATTGAATTAGAAAAAAAAGTCATGAAGCTTAACGTGAAGATACATTTTTTGAGCATTTGACAAATTGATCTTGCATAGGTTGAATAGAAAACAATATTGCCTTGAGGTTACTGGTTAAGCTTTATCTCTCCCTTTCAAGTCGTGCTGATAGGCACGGGTTGAAAGTTCACTTGTAACTCCTTTTGTGGGTGTTGGTTGTGAAAATAAACCAGGATACTTGGGCACCGTGATGACTTCCACCGGAGACTGGCTTCTTCGACATTCGAATAATCTCAAGATGGTACATGCAAGTGTTTATTAACTCATAATTGAAGCGCACAGAATGCATTTCTGCAGAATCTCTTGTTCGAGCATCAAATTGCAAAGGGAGGGACCGACACCAAGTCCAAATGCAAACATGTACAGAGAATAGGCCAGTTGGCAGATGTCCAAGTGAATAGATAGACACAACAGAGAGTTGCCTAAAACATTTGAATGTCAAGATGAGCAGGACTCGATCATTCGAGGTGCGCTCAGATTGCATGGCAAACAGCCGATATCTTCTTGATTGTCTTCAGAGCCGACCATCGCGATCTTGGTCAGACTGTACAAGGCAATACAATCCGGCATACCTGCACGTCTGCAATGAGGCAGGCATACAAGGACATGCGTCGAGCAAGAGAACATTACTGCGGGGTGCGAGTGAGCCTACAATTTGCAGAATTGTCACCCCCTACAAACTGTCTGGCTGCGTCTCGACATGCAGACGAATGCCTCAGAGGACGAGGACTCGTTTGGTGTCCGGCATCTTGGGCGAGCGGCTGGCCAGTTGTAGAGCCTCCTCAGTTGCCGCCCGAGGCGCCAAAGGGAAGTTCGTGGGAACAAATTTAAGTCGCAGTTAAGTTTATGTGTCTGGACAGACAATAGATTGCTACTAGTTAGTGTGAAAGCCAAATATACATATATGCTCATTGTTATGTGTATATTTAACAATATTTTGGTTATCATGTATACGTAAATAATTGTATAAATGTTAATGTGC